TCTCTGGATGAAGGACTGGGTTACTTTAACGAAATTTTGCCTAATTAACAACTAATTTTCTTCTGTCAGCTACTTTAGAAAAAAAGCTGAAAATATTCTAAAACTGAGGAAGCAAAGTGATCGGAAACAGTTTTTGCGTTTGAAAGCTTTGAAAGAAGTGTTACTTTAGAACTACGAATGTCTGCGTTAATGTTAACTCCTCCTTCAACAAGCATTTTTACAGTGTTGATGTTTCCAGTCTCACATGCGTCAAGCAGTTGTGCGTCACGATGCAGAATTAGCATGTTTAGCAGAAACTAAAATAGAAAACATTTTTTTGCTTTTTTCAACAGGCTTAATATTTTTGAAAGTTCTAAATAAGTTTGGGTAAAGAAGGTGAATTAAGGCTGTGGTCTGTGGTCTGTACGCCGTTGCAGTGAGGTATAGTGGTAGGCAATCTTGAAAGAGTTTTAAGAACGCATTATTTCTATATCATTGTTTGGGGAACTAAAAAACTTAAATGTGTCGGTTCTTTCAAGTTTTGCTTCAAAAACAAATGGCCTTTAAAAACAGATAGCTATACTGAAGTAAGAGTGGAATTTTAACTTGTTAGTAGGATTAGGGAATTGTTTAGACAAAAAAATAATCGGAAATCGCGGGTGAATGATGCATTTTGCACGTAGAATGCCTTGAAGTAGAACAGACTTCGTAAGGCGTTAAAAAAACAGGTCTTTTTTTTTTTCAAAACTTGGACAAAAAGTAGAAGGCAAATTTTGAGTTTCTTCTCCTCCCTAGAACTGGTAATTAAACAAATAAAATTTAAACTGTTCACCAAATCTAAACCCTCTAATTTCCCTTTCATATTATATTGCTAGAATTTTGCAGCTAAGAAGAGATTGTGGAGCTGAATTTCTAAAACCCTGAAGGACTAACCTTCCTTATGCTGTTCATGACACTCAAGTATGCCACAGAAACCCCTACAAAGAAAGTGTTCTCCAGTTTCTTTTGGCAGCTTACACACTCGGTTATCAAATCAACCTGCCGTAACTGTCAACACGTGTTAATAAACCTTAAAAACTTAGCATATCCTACCAAAACGTTGATCATTATAGGACGAAAACGCGCAGTAGTAGCTGGTTAAAGTAAGCGAAGTGTATCCTGCTCGAAATAAGAAGGCAGAAGTTGCTATAAAAAAAGATACTGCAGATTCTTATGGTTTATTATATATGTCATGCCGTATACTGCTGTGAAGGGTTTTCAGGGCGGCGATGATAACGATTGTTAGTTTCGGAAATTCCAGATAATTGCTCTGCTGCAACCCAGACTGACTTTAAGTTAAGCCACATTCAACTCTCTCTTGAAAAAAAAACCGCTAATTTAGATGTTTCAATCAGATTAAATTCCACTGACAATACCAATTTGAAAAGCGGTTGAAGTTTACGCTTTTACTACGTTAAGTCATTCAAAAGGCAGAAGAGAAACTGCTGAACTTAACCTGTATTTGTACCTTTGAAACTGTAGTCGTAAACGGAATTGATAATCAGTGTTGTTCTTTTCGCCGTACTAATTTTCGCTGTGGTTCGCCTCCTGTAAGTAAATTTAATCCCGCTAGCGTTTGAGGAATTACAAGAGCGAGCAAAGCGCGTGTTCTGACACTTTCGATTGAAGGAGAACGGCACTAAAAAGTTAAAACAAAGAGTAATTGTTTCAATTACCTAATACAAATTTAAAAATTATTTGTTTTTGCTCAGAATATTGCAAATTCTGCGTTTGAAGACTGTATAAGAATTGAACTGGAAGAGTTGAATGGCTAACTGTCTGACATGACAGCTTTATTCATTTCACGTTGGTTCCAAAAAACATTTGGAGTATAATCTGGTATACTTTGCGAAGTGCACGGAACACTGTTATCAGCAACACAACTTTTCAACAGTGATTACTGCACCGTATTCAAGGTGCCTCGATTTTTACACCCGTTTTCTGAATTGTAAAACCATAGCCATATTGTTCACAATTCACGTCGCTGACGCTGAACGTTTTTAATTAGAGCAGCGAATTGCATCTGTGCGGGTATCTGTTACGAAATGCTTAAATGTAACTTCAATACTGAGGATAGAGGCACAATAGACCACTCTAGAAGTATTGCAGCCTAAATTCAGTGCTTCTTTTTTAATAGCGTAATTGCAGCGAAGTTCTACTGTTAACAAGACTGAAGACGTATCGTAACAAGTAATGGACGATATGCTAAAGTAACAAACGATGGTGAGTGAAAATTCCCCTGAAGTGTTACAGAAGTGTGGTTACGGGCTATCTGACCTACGTTTTGGAAGGAGTTCTCAGCTGCAAATTCCAGACTAGAAGCGGAACTGGTTTTTTGTGCCGGATTTCTTATTTCCAGAATCCTTTCTGTGACTTTGAAGTTACAGCTTTACTACCGCTGATAACGCTTCCATGGATCTTTAAAACATTGATATCAACCTATGATAAAACAAGCTCAGCAGAACGTCTGCACCCTTTCAGGTATTAAGACTTACGTTAGATAACAAAGCGTATGGTGCTGGGGTTTGCAGTTGTCTTCTGAATAGTCAAAAATAATTGTCTTATGTGCCATTTAACCTGCTGTAAAATGGAAAGTTTGCTGTAAATCGTCACAAAAATAAAAAGAAAGAAATAAACTGATCGTGGTTTAAGACTTAAACAGATGATTAGATCAGTATCTACCGATCCATTTTTTTTACTTTCCATAAAAGAAGAACAGAAAATATTGAAATATTGAAACATACAGCACAAGACATCCTCTTATCAGTAACACAGCTGTTTAACAAAAGCCTTTGCTTTATGTAAAGTCGCGAAAGAGCAGCTAAATAACAAATGACATCTCTAATGGGTATGTTCCTTCCATTTCAACCGTGGTACTAAATCCAGTTAAACTTTCATGCACATAATTCGGTTATATTCAGAGATGGACGGCAGTATTTGTCACAGCAACTGATGTAAACAATACAAAGCAATAAACGTATTTATCATGCTAGAAAAACTGGGTTGAAGCTAACTACTAACAGCTATCCTGCAGTGAAAGTCTAGCTGTATAGAGCCAATAACTACAGCAGGACTAGGAAAGAGGAAAATAACAATGTTAACACAGGCAAAGTAACGGGCGTAAAATAACTTTTTCAGACGGAAGCAGAGTAAGCTGTTTTAATAATGAGCTGAGTGGGGAATCAAAGAAAGAAAGAAGTGGTTAAAAATGTGTGGAGGAAGTGTAAATTCAAGAAATTTTCACTTTGTCGACATCGTGTCTGCATTTTTAAAAAGGTAGCGGTGGAAACCATACCGTTTATTCTAATGGAAAGCGGAATTTTCTCCTGCAATGGGATCTCTGTATGTCTTCCTTCCTGTTAAAAATATTCTTGAAGGCTAG